CATATAAATAAAATTAATCATTTTCTAAAATTAAGTAGAAATGAAATCAGAAAAAATTAGATGTAAATGATGCGATTGGCCAAGGCGAGTATAACTCTTTCCTTAAGATGAATTTGCCCTGCATCGGTGCTAACGATTTTTCGACAATTATCTCCCAAGACACAACGATCACGTCAAGCCATATGAGCACTCCAAATGACTTCGACCAGTGAACTCGAAAGAAATTCCCTCTCTACCAAGGAAATGCATGAAAATGCTATAGAATTTAGAAAGGAGAGAATTCCAAGAGGAAAATGAATGCTCAATGCAATTGGTGTACTCAAAACCATGTCCATAGAGTTCTATTTATAGATATAGAAAGAGTGCAAAATAAAGTAGTGTGGGTCGAAACATGCATACTTTCAAAAAGTTGCAACACTTGGCCAAAACCTGCATCCTTTCGAAAAGTTGCAACATTTCATTTTTTCCAACTTCGGTATGCAATTTCTCATTCATCCGGAATTGGTTTCAAGATTCCAAATATACCACGACGATCTACTCGACGAGTAGAATAAGATGGTCTATTTACTTTTGTAATTTGACCATTGGATCAAGTCCAAATATTTGGTCGAAGTTGACACGTAGTCATACCTTTTCATTTTTCACTTTATACACCTTTTCATTTTCCAATTTTTGGTTAATTATTTAAACCAATTCCAACAATCCCCCACATGAATGAAAATTCGATTATGCAAATGTAATGCTATGATGTGATGTAAGTAGAGAGAGAGCGGAAAGCCACTGCATCGGGGATAGTAGCTTCCAGCCTTGAACCTCCCGTAGTGAAATACCATCGAATTTACTCGGCTAATTGGTGAACGTGATATCTTGAACCATTCAGCCTTTAGTGTAAGTCAAGACAACGATACTAACACAGATATCTTTCCTAAACCGTTCATGGTTCTCATGACTTAGTTCATTTTGGCCCTGAACCCTTCTTGGTTTTGCGAGTGTTTAAAGAATACAAGCCTTGAATAATTCTCATTGAAGCGGCCCCACTTCACACTCACATAGGTGACCTCCTATTAAGAGTATTCTGTCATACTCCACTTGACTTAATCAAGATATAAGAATCATTAAAAGATTATCTTAGCCTCTTACAACTCTGCAGAAAGTATTTTAATATCATAGGAATGAGTTAGGAAACTATTTTCCTGAGTGTTTTATGGAATCCTCATAACTTAGTTGTCCCTTTAAACCAAGATCTTGGGATCTCCAGTCAACAAGGTAGGGTTACCATTACAAGGACTCTAACGTAATAGGCTTCAATCCCATTCCCTTCGATAAGCAGTCTTCTTGATCTCTCTTAGTAAATCTCTTTCAAAGGTACAACGAGTTTACACCATTAAGATCAACTGCTTAATGGTATTATGTCTATAACTTATACGTCTAGATCTACCATTACATGTGACTTATATCTTATCAAATATAGCTAGCCAACTATCAATTTACTTGATAGATACAAATTTTCGCCACCAAGAAATCCTCTAATGCTTTATCAATTTCCAAATACGGTTGGAGGATTTCCATCAAACACTACACTAGTCAATCACTTTTACTAGTGGATTTCAGAATCATGGGTATTCAATATTATCATTGAAACATTACCATGCATTTGAACTTTATGAATATTCTTCAAATATTTCAATTGTTCTTGCATGTCCAAACAATCGCCACAATCAACTTCCACCCATTTAATCCACCTTAGACTTAGTGTATATCGTCCTTATAATTAGTATAAGGGTTTTCTATCTTTCCACATTCATAGATATCGTTCTGTGATTATAAGATAGAAGCAAATGTAATTGTTAAACTGAGTTACCCCCACAATTCCTCAATTAAGAATACATATGCAATCTAGTAATGTTGCATCCATAAGTTTTAAACTTTTCATTCAAGTTCACTAGCATTTATGATAATCTCCCACATCTTTGGGTTACAATTGAACTTAGGGTTTAACAACTCTTTCATAGTTCAATTTATTTATCTCTTAGATAATATCCATATCGAGTGTTTCGTGAAAGTTTAAGTACTTTCAAAATAGTGGTTGTTAACTCACAATTTATTTGAATTAAAGTTGCATATAATGTATTTCAATCCAAATTATTTTAATTTGATCATCCAAATTAAATCAAGACCATCATATGGACCAGCAATGCTTTTTCAAGCATAAACAAATTTAATTGGTTTCATGATTGGAGTCAATTTCAATAGTGAAGAGGGCTAAGCATCTTGATTTACAAGAATTGCAACATCTCCAAACATATGTAACTTATCATATTTATGACATTTCGCATAATAGCTTCATTTCATGTCAAATAATAAGGTATATATTCACCTTATTCACCATATTCAAACTTGAACAAATGAATCAACCATAGGTTGAAAAGTTGTGTTCTCAAGAGACACAACCCTATAAAATGACACACCTTTTGAATTAATCTCTTCATAGAGAAACGCCCATTGGAAAATAATCATACCAAAAGTCATAATTATTCATATAAAAGGACGCACCTTTTCATCTAAATTGATCTTAGAATATCTCATAATATTTTTCATATCATCGTTTTTAACCTTTCCAAGTGAATGTCATTCAAAATCATTATTTCCAATGATATCCAATACCACCGCCAACTATAGACATTATTTGTGCTCTATAAATATTTTCTTATCCCAATAATTGGGCAAGCAATTTTCGCTTTAATATGATTAAGACAAAATCACAATTTGTCATATAATTTGCATAAGCCTTCTCATTTAATTTCATCAAATTAATTGAGGCTCAACAAGATATGAGATTTTAACAAAATTAAGAAGCCGCATCCAACAATATGGGTGGACACCAAATCATGCTTCTTCATGTGAATAATTTTTTCAAATATTCTCCACTAAGTACCACTTAATGGATTTCTTTGTGCAAACATGCACCTCAATAATGCACACCATTTTAATGGATTTTGATAGATTTGAAAAGGTACAATTCAATTTACTAATGGCTTTCACAACCAGAAGAATGAAACAGAAACTTTTTCCATCCCAAGCAATTTCATTTATTTGAATAAAGGAATTTACCAAATCTTCATCATGTATGCAACGTGAAAAGACGCCATTTAAGTTGCACGTGAGTGGATTCACTTGACAATTGCACCGAATCTATTTCATTCTTTATTAAAAGAATGCACCAACCAGAAAAAGTCACCGGTTCAGTTATTACAGCAATGTATCGGTATGGATTTAATATATATTCTTGGCCACCGTTTGACCATCACACTTTCGTGAGATTTGTCCTATTCCATTAACATAAATTTAACGCCTCTTTTATAAGTAAATAATGTTGTTTAATGTTGACACCGTTTCCGCAAATAGAGATGCAACAAAATTATACTTTATTCTTGCACATTCTGTAATAGTCACAATAAGAAATTAATAATTGAACAATCACCATGCCAAAATGGATTCCTTTGCCACCATAATGGTTTAAAGTTGCTTTTAAAATGGAAAGTCATTACTTTGAAGCCATATGCACTAATTTTGAAAGACAAATTAATGGCAGCCATGCATTATTCGCCAACTATTGAATTATATCACATTGCAGTTTTCTCCATTTGCAGCTGATCGGACAAGTATACAACGAAACACAATGGTCGGTATATCAGACCAAAGAAAATTGAATATATTGCAGTTTCACACATCAAAACAGATAATTCATGCTACGATTCCAAAAGGGGTCTTTAATAATCTGCACATGTGTTCATGCTTCTATTAATGCAAAAAATCTAATGCATTTTTGGACAGAACCTAATTTGAACATATGAAATAAACATGTTTCCTCAATTGGGCGATACGGTTCTAAATGGGATATAGAATGGCAATATGTTTGGCAGATTCCAAATATAATATAAAACGCACAATGAATAGAAAAAGTTCATCTTAAGACTGTTGGGGAATACACCGATTATGTGCATATTATATTTATAAAAAAATATACCGTTTATGTTCACGAAATCGAAACAAGGTTTCGACTTACCGAAATGGAGTTTGAGAAACTAACCAATGATTATCGAATCTGACAATTTCCATTCTTAAATTAAAACATGTGTTTCTTCATATCGAACCTTGCATAAACCATATAAATAAAATTAATCATTTTCTAAAATCAAGTAGAAATAAAATCAGAAAAAATTAGATGTAAGTGATGCGATTGGCCGAGACGAGTATAACTCTTTCCTTAAGATGAATTTGCCCCGCATCGGTGCTAACGATTTTTCGACAATCATCTCCCAAGATACAACGACCACGTCAAGCCATAGGAGCACTCCAAATGACTTCGACCAACGAACTCAAATGGAATTTTCTCTCTACCAAGAAAATGCATGAAAATGCTATAGAATTTAGAAAAGAAAGAATTGCAAGAGGAAAATGAATGCTCAATGCAATTGGTGTACTCAAAACCATGTCCATAGAGTTCTATTTATAGATGTAGAAATGGTGCAAATGAAGTACTGTGGGTCAAAATATGCATCATTTCAAAAAGTTGCAACACTTGGTCAAAACCTACATCTTTTCGAAAAGTTGCAACACTTCATTTCTTCCAACTTTGGTCCGCAATTTCTCATTCATCCGGAATTGGTTTCGAGATTCCAAATATACCATGACGATCTACTCAACGAGTAGAATAAGTTGGTCTATTTACTTTTGTAATTTGACCATTGGATCAAGTTCGAATATTTGGTCGAAATTGACACGTAGTCACACCTTTTCATTTTTCACTTTATACACCTTTTTATTTTCCAATTTTTGGTTAATTATTTGAACAAATTCCAACACCTCCCTGGTAGATTAGATTAGTTGTAGTGTCTTTCTTATTTTCCAAGTTTCTTTCCTTCTTTCATTTGTATTTTATAAGCAATTCTGACAGAGAAGTTTAATATAAAAAAATGGGATAATCCTATTTTGCAGCTTACCTGCCTGCCTTGGAAAAAAAGCTAGAAATCTGCTAATCCATTATAAATATTTCTTCCCCTTCGGCCCTTTCCAAAGTCAGCCAGTCATATCAATTTAGCAATATGGAATTACTGCCCAGAGAATATGGTTACGTGGCTATTGTTTTGGTCCTTCATTGCTTTCTCAATTTCTGGATGGCTGCTCAAGTCGGTGCTGCCCGTAAAAAGTAAGTTTCCTTTTTCTCATTCTCTCTCGTTTTCGGGGGGCAAAAGTAAACCCCTGTGAAATTTTTATGTAAAATTCTTTGCAGATACAAAGTGTTCTACCCAACAATGTATGCCACAGAAGCTGAGAATAAGGATGCCAAACTCTTTAACTGTGTTCAGGTTCCATAGATTTTTGTTTTCCTTTGATTCTATTTGGAATTATGATTGACTTTGTTGAATCTTACAGAGAGGGCACCAACATTCATTGGAAACGATGCCAATGTTCTTCATGTTGATGATATTGGGGGGAATTAGGCATCCTCTGATTTGCGCATCACTTGGAGTTGTTTATAGCATTGCTCGCTTTTTCTATTTCAAAGGTTATTCCACCGGTGATCCCTGGAAGAGGTTTACCATTGGGTCAGTCACTCTACATTTAATCCCTGTTCGACAACCATCAAAAAGAGTGTTTTTTTTTTTTTTTAAATGAATTTTGGAATAATGATTTTTTTTTTTTAAGAATGTGTGATTAAAATGTAGAAAAATTTGAATTTAAGGGGGGAGTTTGAGGCACACTTTCCATTTAAAAAAAAAATGAGAAATATAGTCGTTGGTGCACATTCCTTCATGAAATTGTGAGATGCAAGTCAACAACTACGGCTGTATGGGGTCCACTAACAGTCGGAATTCTTCTACAAATGAGGAAATAATGTGGAACAAACAGCCCCTAACAAAAAGAAGACCAAACGGATTTTGTAAACAAACATGAGTCACGTTTCCCTTATTTTTCATAGCCTTCCATAACCGCAAGTCTTAAACATTATCAGTCAATACACAGACCACAGTAGGTCGAACTGGTATATATACTTTGTATGGCAAAGAACCCATAATATTGAAGTTGTTTTGAATTTTGTTGTATGCAGGCGGTACGGTTTCGTAGCATTTTTGGGGCTTCTGATTTGCACAATCTCATTTGGAGTCAATATGATAATTGCATAAACAAGGATGAGCACGGAAGGGAGATGTTTTCTTGAGATTTTGCTGTTTGTAGAATTTTAATTTATATTTCGACATTTGCCATCCTCCTTGTGTTTGTTTAAAAAACTAGTTGGGTCTGTACTTATCTTATTATAGCACCAAGGAAAGTTATGTATTGCCAAAATCTCTTAAATAAATTGTTCATTTAGAGAATGTTTGGCACTTTGAACAAGACATACTTTACATGGAAAGCTACAAAGAAGAAAGGACACTAATAATGAAAGAAAGATGCAAAATTTTTCCATTTATTAATATTTATCTTTTTACGCTATGATTGAGAAATATTTGAAGTTACTTATAATTAAGTTAAAGTCAATTTACAATTTTAATTACACATTCACAATTACTATTCACTTATTATTCACGGGGTCTAATGAAATCACACACACACTAGTAAAAAAGGTGGAAGTAGGATCGATGGTAAGGTAAATTAATTGTGGATTTTGACTTAAATTTTATTCGGTTTACTAGCGGAACTGCAAACAAGGACATAAGAAACGAAATAAAATTATTTTTCTCTGAAGTCCAATGCCGGATAGTCCAATCTCATTATACCAAGCAAATTTGCTATAGATAACTACAACCTTTATGAATTTATTTATATATACTTTGGCAGCTTTATTGCCATTGCCACAATTCTTGTCTAGAGCTCTGCTTGATGTCCAGGGCCACCCACCTATAAGGGGCGCCACTGGACGTCCAGATGACCCTAGACGTGCACCTTTATCCTTATTGTCTATGTAACTTTATAAATTAGGCAAATTTATTATTTTTCAGTGATCAGATTAAACAAAAGAATACGTAGAAAGAATTGGGTCTGAGACTCTCAATAAAGTAATCAATCATCATGTATTATAGCAGATATAATAACCAATGACCAGTAATAGAATGGAGAATAGTTTTGATCATGATACATAATAGAAATAAAAAAAAAATAAAACATCCTCCAAGCTGGATGTGGCATAATTAACACGAAGAATAAATCAAATTTAAAGCCTAAATCTAAATTTGCAGTTACTCTCCCTAATTCTAATTACATTATCTGCAGATAATGTGTCTACCATCAGCCTGCATCTCACCAAGAACTTCCATTTCATCAGTTTCAGTTTTCCAAGCTTCAGCCTCACTGGAACCTTGGCTCGAAGACTCAAAGGAATCTTTCCCGTTTGCTGTTGCGCCTCCAACGACTGAAGTAATCCGCTTGCATCCTGCGTCTGCCCCATCAAGGTAAGGTTCAACAAGGTGGTATTTCGGTGGCCCTGGTAAAATTTTGGCAATGAACCGTCACAAAGTTTTGTTCCAGTGTACCATACACTAAGATGGCTTCCACCTTCATAGTATATACCTATCTTTTCATTAGGATTTCTTGCAGTGATATTGACGTTGAACGTCGCAGAGAGAGAGTTATCGTTGCCCAGATTGAATTGAGTTATTCTCATGGCATCTACCGAGTATTTTGGTATTTTTGGTTGGAATACAAAGTATATGATTGCAGCCAAAATGCCAATGATTAGTATTTGCAGTAGGATAAGGGATATGGTCCAACACAAACACTTTCTACAGCAACTTTTCCTTGGTGGTGGTTTTGAGGGTGCATACGGGATAGTCCGGCGGAATGGTGGATATAGTTCTGCCGGATCGCCTTTATCTGAGCGGAAAGAGCCTCGGGGAACCAACGGAGCAGTGGCGGTCTGTGGTGTTGCCGCCTCGGGGTCCTTAACCGGATGAATTCTTTGAGTATCAGCCATTGGGAAAGAGTACACTACAAGACCAAGAGAGCATTCCAAAGAAAAAACAATTGACAGAAATTAATCCCTCTAGTTTTGTTTCTTTTCTTCTTTTCCTTCAATTCCTGGACTGGACCAAACATTTGGCGTATATAAAGACAGAAATGAATCCCTCTGTGTGCACGCAATGTCAGATTAATGGTTCCGTTGAAGCTTCCTTATTTTGACCTTTTCATTTATTTTAACGAATAAAGAGCTCTCACCCTGACCCACCTAGGAGAGTTTATCTTGTCACAACATCTTAACTCTAACCAAAAAAAATATTAATGAAAGTGAACCAAATAAATAACAAAGACTATTGGGTACCTGGGCCCCCTTTCCTATTAATTTAATTTTTTTTTTTATTTTGTTAATATTAGAAGATTCCAATGTTAAATTTTGAGCAGTTAAAATGTCATTTTCCAGTGTGTGAAGTTCATTCTTAGACAATGGGTGTTGAGTCGTTGACTTTCAAGGCATTGGGAGGTTGCCAACTGCTATGTTCCTTCATTAACTTTGAATTTTGCGAGTGATTTTCACAAATAAAAAAATAATAATAATAATAAATAATGATTAGTTCAACTCTCAATTTCATGAAAAAAGAAAATTACTGATTTCCCCAGGAAATGTCCTTAGAAACGAGATGAGAACGCGCACAATTGATGTAGGAAATGGACGGCTGCTATGGTAGGGGCCATTTTTTGCAAGAAAAATATCCAAATCAATCATGCTATGTTGTCCAAATATTTTTAATATAATGACTGATCGACACTCACAATGGTAGGGGCCCACTTTTTTATTCACGAGATCCATTCACATGTCAGAGAATGTCAATCATTATGTAAAAAAAAAAATTCAGACTAAGTAGTTTAATTCATGTCCAAATAGGAATGTCAATGTCAATAATTAAACGTTCAGTCCTGATTCTGAAGTACCACCTTAGGATAAGAACCATTTCTGTCAATTAGCCTGTATACTACAATTCTTCTTGGTGGGGAAGAATTATTTGGGGAAGAATTACCTCGTCAATGAAAAGTTTGCCTGCGTACTACAACCCTTCTTGATGGACCAATTCGCAATGCAAAATCAACTAATTATTTGGGGAAGAATTACCTCGTCAATGAAAAGTTAGTCAAAACCTTGTATTATAGTCTCCAATTTAGGAGGTTTCTTACAACAAAATCCATCTAGAAAGATTGAAAATGGGAAAATCTAATTTTCATGATGAATAAAATCGTCTTGTTATACTTTTTTCTTTTTTTTTTTAATACCTTAATGTAAGGTAAAAATATTAATCAACTTATCACAAGTAAGGTTGGGCAAAATCCAACCCAAACCGCTCAATACGACCAACCCAACCCAACCAACCCAAATCGATTGATTGGATTTGTTTCAAATTCAATTGAGTTGGATTGGACAGAAAAATCGAATTTGAGGTTTGAGTTGAATTGGATTGGGCGTATTTAAGTCTTGGGTTATGAATTAAAACACAATCTAATGAATTAAAAAAATAATATCTAAAATGATTTAAAAAAATAACATAAATAGACACAGTAGTAAAAATAAGAGGACTTATAATTTATACCCCATTTAGCCCCCATTAATTTTTATTACATTGCATTACATTTTTCTCTCTTCTATTTTCAACCACACAATCTTCTATTAAATAATATTACACGTAAATTGAAAACTTTTCCTTCTTTTTCAACCACTAATTTTCGAAAAAATATTATTCCATCCATTTTCAACGCTACAAAATGGAAGCCAAATTGGGGCTATAAATATCAATTTTCTTTACGTAGACTAGCTGACATAAACATTATGTACAAATGCTAAGTTATTTGACAATAAAATAAAAGTTAAGGACATGATGAATAAATGAATGAATTCCAAAAAATTGTACAAAAAAGAGTACTTTATAATTGTAAATTTATTTATTTATTATTTTTAAGAAATAACTCCTTATATAGGTGTTTAAAAAAATGGAGGACTTCAAGTAATTTCAAACTTTAAAAAATTGTTCAAATTCAACAAAAAAAATAATTGAATCCAACCTTAATTGGGGTGAAGCCCAAACCAACCAACCCAATTCAAATCAACCCGGACTTGATCGGTTTGGATTGGGTTGAGTTGGAAAAACCCAACAACCGGCCCAACCCACACTCACCAATAAGGTTCATGTTATTACAACATTTAATACTTTATTAGCAAGTCTAAAACCATTTAACTAGGCCCTTGTTTGAGTTCCATTTTTTCAAAAACTCATTTTTCCGTAATTCATTTTCAATTCACATTTTTTAATAAAATAATTTTATATGTAACTCAAAAAAATTTCTTATTTTTTTACTACACGTTCTCCAAAAAAATCAGTACTCTAAATTACTTTTTCTTTAAAAAACTAAAATGGGGCTTAAACAATGGCTAAATGACCGAACTTAAATAGTTGGCAAACTTTAAAGGCAACTTTAGAACAAAATGAAATTCATAATTAACGTAGCGTGAAATAACGAATTCGAGCGAAAATCTTAAGAACACAAATATGGAATCCACTAGAGAATGAAAAATAAACTCAAGATATTTTATTGATTCAAAAATTGCCTAAAAACGAAAAACTAACGATTTTATTTAGGTAAAATTGCAACAGTGGTCCCTAATATTTTACTTTTTTGCAGAACTTACTCTAACATTTACTTTATGCGACCCATAGTCTCAAACCTTTTAAAAATATGCATTTGAGAATCTAAATGGATGGAAACCGTCCATTTGATTGTTAGTTTAACAATAAAATTGAATTTTGAACACGTTTGACTAATTTAAAATAGTAACTTTATCATTTAACCCTATAAACGCAATTAAAATAAATAATAAACAAAAGAAAAATAAAAGAAAAAAAACTATTCATCGCCTTCTTCATCCCCTACTCCACTCCACCCCAACAAAAAACACTGCCTAAATCCACTACCCAAAATCACTACCATTTCCCAGCCAAAAATACCACCAAAATCCACTGCCATTTCCATTCCTTCTAGCCTTCCCCAATCTAAATCTAAATATAAATACACCGCCATGTCCATGCCTTTCAGCCACGCTTGAGGCCGAAGGTATGCTACTCTCAATTTGGCTAATTTGGCCTATCTTGGCCTTGTTCCCTTCCCCCAATCTGTTTTGCTACCTTTCTTTCTCTCTCAGCGCAAACCTGATTCAAGTAGTTCTTCTGTTCTTTTCGGCCAAATTCAAGTTCTACTTTGGGAATTTTGAATTCGGTTAGTTGATTGTGCATTATCCTTAAATATTCAAGTGTAACAAGATTCAAGTTTTAAAGTTTTTTTGCTCTTAGTTTGATTTTCACCTTCCTTCCCTTGGTGAAATCGAATTCAGCTTACAAAGTTTTTACTAGTTCTTGCTCTTGATTTGAATTTTGCATCCCCACCTTAGTAAAATTCGAATTCATGCAATAGTTTGTGCACAATGTTCATATAGATTCAAGCGTGTTGTTGCTGCAGTGCATTTGGGCAACGGTTTTGGGGGTGAAGAAGGAGATAAATAGTTTTTTTTCCCTTTTAGTTTTATTTTGTTTTAGTTATTTATTTTAATTGTTTTATAGGATTAAATAGCAAAGTTATCCTTTTACCCTTTTAGATTGGTAAAATTTGGTCAAAGTTCAATTTCATTGATTAACTAACGTTCAAATAGACAGTTTCCATCTATTTGGACTACAGGTGCATATTTTTAAAGGTTTGGGACTACGAGTGACACAAAGTGAAGGTTGAGATAAAGTTTACAAAAAAGTGAAAAGTTAGAGATCACTGCTACAATTTTTCCTTTTATTTATAAAAAAGCCCCAAAATTGAAAAGAATTCAAAATAACTTAGGATATGTTTGAGCCCCATTAAATTGAAAAAATCATTTGTAATAGTAAATTGATGGAGAATATATAATTAAAAAGTAAGAAAAAATTGAATTTTCATGTAATATTATTTTATAAAAGAATGTATAGTTGAAAAGAATAGAGATAAAAATGTATTTTAGGAAAAACGATAATCAAACAAAGCCTGAATAACAAAAATAACATTAAAACCAAAAAATAGTTTTTGAGTTCTAAACGAACTCGGATGGCTAAAATTCATCATATTTCATAGAAAAGCCATGAGTTCAGTCTAGCTCGTATTCCTTTTTTCGAAAACGTATTATGAGCCTAAAAGCTCAAACGTCAAATATGCAATTTACTGTTTCTTCATTTTTTATCCAAAAATTCTTCCACAAAGCTATCATGCATCAATAATTAATACAAGGCTAAATATGTTGGCAATACATTTTTCCACAAGTGTACCATATTTTAATTTACGAAAGGTTTTTAATGTTTACTCATTGTAACACTTAAGTCCCCAACTTTTTTCTATTGTAACCTTACCCCTTAACCCATAGTTATTAGACTCGACCTAGTAGTCAACTCGAAAAAATCATTGGGTCATCGAGTTAATGATTCAACTGGCAGCTCAGTGGTTCAACCATTGAGTCATTGTTAAACTGGTCTTGAACAGTTCCCTTGTTAACTTGATCAATTAATGCACTCAGATTGGGCTACTATTTCATCAATAGTGAATAAAAAACTCATTTTTCATTGTATTTTTAAATAAAAAATAAAAAATTGGGATAATATATATATATTTTTTACTTATTTTAAAGTAAAGTATGATAATTTCGGTAAAAAATTTGCAAGTATACGCGATCGTTGATAAATAATAATATAATGAGTTAAAGTATCGTCCCACAAGGAATAACGTTTAATTCTAGTATACTAGTGTTTATCAAATTCAGTCAATTATAACAAAATAAATTGTTTGTTGATTTTTTACACTAAAATATACCATGAAACCAATAAACTATGATTTTTTTTGTGAAATACGAAATGAATGTATTGGATTTACAAGATTGAAAATTAACTTCTAGTTCTAATTCTCAACTTGTGTTAATCAGCGTAGTTAATATGTTTGTGGCAATCAATGCGCTAATTTTATTTAATACATTCTTTCAAGATACATTAAACCTATTTTTAGTATGATCCCTATTTTTAGTTCGAATTCATATGAAAACATGCATTTAATTTTAGGATTATCTCATGCAAT